AATCAATGCTATACCTACACTAGCGAGATCCCTGGGAGTAGCATCAGGGCTACCGGATACACGAAGTGTAAGTCGAGCTGCTTCTTTATTTTGACAAGGTGAAATCAGATTAATGACTTTACTAAGATCCTGTATGCGCGTTTCCGAGACGCAGCATACATCGATGGCACTAGATTCTAATGTCCTAGCTAAGGAAGCTTGTTGCCCTATTTGACACAATGTCCGTACATTAAATGCTGCAACATGTAGTCTAGAACGTGGTTTCAGGAGACTGGAAATGACGTTTCGTGAACTCGTGTCATTTGCATTAGTGGTGCAGTGTGATAAGGGAAGGTGAGTAGAGTTAGTTGTGGAGAGAATAGAGGTATGTGTGGGTGTAGGGAGGATTTGATATTGACCAATTCGGTCTCGTGTGCCGTTACTGGTATGTGGTAGTTTGTCACTTCTCCGCTGCTCACACCGTGGAAGGTTGCTTCTTGAGGGACCTGAAAAGGAAGGTGGATTATTGTTGGTCTTAGAGACCTGGGTGCGTAACCGCAGAGCCCAGGGGACAACTGCTTGAGGCCCGCCAAGCACGGCCTTTTTATTAAAGGTTTCTTGAGTATTAGCTCCGCTCTTGAAAGCCCTTAATGGCCACCCTTACCACCGGAGACGGAAATCCGTGAGGTAGGGTGAGGTGTGACATTTTTAGGGTCGACCTTTTCTAATCCTTCCTTCCTTGTGAGAAGGCAACATCGCTGCAGATGCTGGTTGTCCGAGGGAAACACCTTACTGCTGTCACACCGCTGTGCAGTCAGAAGTACGACTTCGGTTCAAATTGTCACACCACATTAGCATAGTGAGATTGAATTAATGACACATTCCAAGGTAGTAGATGTAGTAACACAATCAGCAACAATACTAATAGGAGAGGTTGATTTATATTCCAGATGGTCCCGGAAGAAAATATGACTTCGTGGAATATAAAGCCTTAGATAATTTCATAGCTGAGGATCTAAAAGAAATCAAAGAGTGAATGTATTTGGGCCACTGAGACTGATTCCGAACCATTTTATTCACTATCTAACCATTGGTAACGACCACACAGCAGATGGTGGTTGTCCGAGGGAAACACCTTACTGCTGTCACACCTCTCTGCAGTCAGAAGTATGACTTCGCCCTCAGATCTTGAGTAGCTGCTTTTAGTCTCATCGTTCTCCAATCGACCTGCCTGGGATAGTGGAACATTCAGGAAAATATGTTCCAGCCAGTACAGCTCGATTGGGTCATCACGATAGGCAAGCCCGACCACCACGTCAAGGTAGCAGCTTCGGTCGGGTTGAATAACTGGTTGGGGTTAGCTATGTGGTCGTTACCAATGGTTAGATACTGAATAAAATGGTTCGGAATCAGTCTCAGTGGCCCAAATACATTCACTCTTTGAGTTCTTTTAGATCCTCAGTTATGAAGGAAGGCTTAGAAAATGTCGACCCTAAAAATGTCAAATCTTACTCCGCATTCACGCTCCCAGGTCTCTAAGACCAACAATAATCCACCTTCCTTTTCAGGTCCCTCAAGAAAAAACCTTCCAGTCAGTCAGTTGCAACGTAGAACTTCGTAGGTAAGTACATCAGTTCATGTCGCCGTACCACATCAGCACAGAGATATAACTGTCAATTCAAATCCAATAGTAGAAGAGGTAGTAAAGGTATTAGAAGTAATCCACGGTGTGCGGAGAAGTGACAAACTACCACATACCAGTAACGGCACACGAGACCAAATTGGTCAATATCAAATCCTCCCTACACCCACACATACCTCTATTCTCTCCACAACTAACTCTACTCACCTTCCCTTATCACACTGCACCACTAATGCAAATGACACGAGTTCACGAAACGTCATTTCCAGTCTCCTGAAACCACGTTCTAGACTACATGTTGCAGCATTTAATGTACGGACATTGTGTCAAATAGGGCAACAAGCTTCCTTAGCTAGGACATTAGAATCTAGTGCCATCGATGTATGCTGCGTCTCGGAAACGCGCATACAGGATCTTAGTAAAGTCATTAATCTGATTTCACCTTGTCAAAATAAAGAAGCAGCTCGACTTACACTTCGTGTATCCGGTAGCCCTGATGCTACTTCCAGGGGTCTCGCTAGTGTAGGTATAGCATTGATTCGTAGAGCTGAACAATCTCTCCTAGACCGGATCCCTGTAGATAGTGGATTGTGCGCTGTCCGACTGAACGGGACAGTAAGGACTCGGAAAGATAGATACACCAGTCGTTGCCTCTTCGTCGTATCTACCTATGCCCCCCCCTCCACTGACTGCAGTTCAGACGAGGTTAAAGATGAGTTCTACAGAAAGCTTTCGGAACTCCTCCAAAAAGCTAGGCGCTCTGATATAGTAATAATGGCTGGTGACTTTAATGCTCAAGTAGGTAGACTAAGTGAAAACGAAAGACACCTAGGTGGATGTTATGGTGTCGCGGCTCAAAGAACAGACAATGGCGACCGTCTGTTACAAGTATGCTCAGATAACCGCCTATTTCTAGCAGACACTAACTCTAGGCATGAGGAAAAACATCTATTGACCTGGCGATCCCCGAAGTCGTCTCAACGTTGGACGCAACTAGATCATATCGCCATCAGCCACCGATGGAGAGTCTCGATAGAGGACTGTCGCTCGTTCTGGAGCACATGTTTAGATTCAGATCATGCCCTAGTGCGAGCTCGTATCTGTTTGCGTCTTACTGGACGTAGGAAAGACACCGTAAGGAAATCTTTTAGGGTTTTACTCAATGATAATCAAGCTAAGAATATATTTCAGGAGGAACTAGAAAAACAGTTAGGCGACCATGTAAGCGATTCGCATCCGGAAGCAGGCTGGAATGATATCAAAAAGGCTTTGGAATTAGCAGTGATATCTGCTAGAAAGTTAAGCCATAAGGCTAGAATGAAGCCGTGGATCTCCGTAGCATCTACCGAACTGATGGATGCTCGAAAGCTCATCATACTCGGCTCGCAGTGCGATGAGGAGCGAAGTCAGCTTAGACGTAGGCTGATAAAAAGCCTACGCAATGATCGCGAACAGTGGTGGGTAGCGAAGGCAAGCGAGATGGAAAAGGCAACAGTGATAGGCAACAGTAGGCAATTATTCAGACTCTTCAAAGAAACTGGTATAAGGTGTCCGAATGTGAGTACGGCTATCTCGGAAAACGATGGTCTTATTAATCATTCTTAATCCAGGAGATTGGATCGATGGCCGAATACTTTAAGGATCAGTTTAACTGGCCTTCAGCCACACTTCGGTTTCCCACGATCTCCAATCATCCTGAATGGCATGTCGATGCAAGCCCTCCGAACCGTTATGAAGTTGAAAAGGCTATAGGAAATCTGAAGCGAGGGTGAGCTGCAGGTCTTGATAGGCTTCCCCTGAGATTTTTAAGGATGGTGGTGGAGTTTTAGCAGCTAAGTTGACTGAGATCTTAGGTAGAATCTGGGAACTGGACGTAATCCCATCCGACTGGTCTCAATCACTGATTGTCCCAATCTATAAGAAAGGACAAAAGTCTTCTTGTGAGAATCACAGGTGAATCAGTCTAACTAATATAGTATCTAAAATATTGGCCTCAGTAATATTTCGACGCTTAACGAAAGCTCGTGAAGAGCAGACTAGAGAAAAGCAGGCTGGTTTTCGACCTGGATGTGGTTGTATAGACCACATATCCACACTACGACAGGTCCTGGAACGAAGACATACATTTAGGCGTCCGACAATAGTCGTGTTCCTGGACCTTAAGGCGGCTTTTTACTCAGTGTATCGTGAGGTTCTGAGGCAGTGTTTGTCATTGAAAGGTGTACCAGAGAAGTGTACATTAACCTTATAAAAGCTATCTACTCGAAGACTACAGGTCGAGTGAGAGCTTATGGCGAACTGTCACCGGAATTCTTCACTTCAAGTGGTGTCCGTCAGGGATGTCCACTGTCTCCATGCTTGTTTAATTCTATCATAGACATGCTCCTAGATATAACCTTATCCTCGTCTGAATTATCAGGAGTAGACCTTTTACTAAGAGGCTCGCTTATCGACTTAGAATATGCCGATTACATAGTCCTACTTGGTGAAGACGCTGACAAAATGCAAAGTCTTCTGACCACCCTAAGCAACAATTCAAGCATGTTCGGCTTTTGATCATAGGTGTCTTCGAAGCATTACTCGTATACCCTGGGACACCAGAGTGAGAAACGCTGTTATTAGGAAACGGGTACTAGGTAAGGATGACAGATCAATCGATGAAGTAATGGAACTTCATCAGTTGAGGTGGTTAGGACATGTGTTACGTATGCCTAACCACCGACTGCCTCGACGAGCTTTGTTTTGTAGTGTAGGAGTAGGTTGGAAGAAAGCTAGGGGCGGCCAGACCAAAACATGACAGAAATTCATGAAGTCAATGAAAAGTGGACTGAGTAATGTTGGTAGGTGCAGGCTAGCTGGTTGGGGTCCGCGAGATGATAATCATCGATGGTTAGAGACCTAGAATGACATGGCTCAAAACCGTTTGCAATGGCGCCGGTGCATTTATTCTTTGTTTTCTCTCAAATCCTAAACTTCTAGATTCTTCAACACCTCTAGTTTTGTCTTTCTAAGCTTATCTCAGTGTATCATAGTTCTCAAATAATATCTTCTGATCCTAACCTCTTTGATTACTTCTAATACCTTTACTACCTCTACTACTATTGGATTTGAATTGACAGTTTATATCCCTGTGCTGATATGGTATGGCAACATGAACTGATGCACTTACGTACGAAGTTCTACGTTTCATCTGACTGACTGACTAACTGACATACGTACCAGGTTCCATATTGCATATGACTGACTGATTGACTTTATAATAGCCAATAACATAAATTCAATGTACCCTTAAAACATCTTAGTAGTATGAAGGATGAGACAGGGGAAATGCAAAAAAATATCAGGACAAGAAAGATGATTCAAAGACTTATAAACTTACTTGTTTTCATGAAAACATTCACCATCTAACTGGACAGAACTTGTTTCATATGTATTGCTGTTAATAGTATTACTATCTGGTTCATTTAATTTGGGTGATGTGGAATAACAAGTTTTAGTTGGTGACAATACAGATGACGAATGACCTGTGGAACTTATATCTGCTGGAATATTTTTATTACAAACTGGGTTGGGAGCCGCTGCTAAACTCTGGTCAATTGTAGAATGAGGTGAGGATTCAATAGATTTGATAATATTTTCTTCTATACCAGACTCATCTATTTCTTGTTTAGATTCACTTGTGACACATTCATAAGATGTATTGATTTCTTTCAATGGAATTTTCATAGAATCATCATTAGATTCTTTAATTTTTTTAGGTGATGAATAAGTTTGATTATTAACACTAGATGGAAGTGTACCAATAGCTACACGATAACCTTCATCTTGACAATTGGCACAAACCCATGGAAGACTACGATCTATTGACTCTTCAAGTTTCGGTCGATGGCATTCAATGTGAAAGCCTTTGTCACATGCATCACATATAATCAAATCACTCTATCAAGGAAACAAAAAAGAATAAAATAATTTTCTAAAGCCGTATTTGATATATGCAAAAGATTAATCACGATGATAAAACTTACTGGGTACAGGCTCATGTAGCCGACTTTAAGGTACACTTATTATGTGAAGCCTAATGATATTATCTGTATTCCCAAACTAAAGTACGTAGAAGCGTAACTCGGAGCGAAGACCTAGCAGATGGAAATCAGGTGTCTTAACCGCTAAGCCATAATTTACCACTAAGACAGTTAACACAAATAATGGGCAACATAGAATATTTCCAACTGGATTTCCCATAAAACAATGTCTTATCAAAATATATAATTGTTATCTATATGAATGATGTTACTAAACATAATAATTCTGATAAAACATTCACTCAAGTATACAAATACTACACATGATGAATTACGCCTACAGTTATGTATGGTATTACTAAATACATTGCATTTGTGATCAATATAAAATAATGGAAATTATTATTGTACTAAAGTAAATTTATCAAAAAATCTATGTAAATCGATATATAAGATTACAACTGAAGTACATACGCAACACAATACAATTAATTATTTGCCAAAAGTTTGTGATAGACTGCTGGCGAATAAATGGAATAACAGGTAACACATGGTAACTGATAAATTACAAACGTGAATACTGGGTAACGCTGTAATCACGTAACATTTTTCAGTAACTATTACGAGTAACTTTTTTCGATACAAAAATAATACAAGATCACAAAAGACTGGAAAAATCTATTGCAGATCGATAACAGTTAGTGCATCTCTTATAACAACTGTTGACATAGAAAGGACATTATGCAGCCACATCGGTGTTCTCGAACTCTTATGGAGGTACCAAAGATAAGATCATTAAGTAAAGATTATCACTGATTGTTCGCTAAAAACCCACAAATTCAAAATAAAAAGTGAGAAAAACTGAGATACAAATGATAAGATTACTTACTACAAGTGTTTTTAGTAGGAAAGGAAGTCATATGTAAACGGAGAACAAGAAAGGGGAGAAACCACTATAGTTTAGATAATATTGGATTCAACACGCAAAAATATTTCTTTTTAAACATTGGACATTGTGTACTTTGAAAAACAGCCCATGGAACGGAAGTAAGACAGAAATATAGTCTAAATAATTATATCGAACCGAGTTTTTTTTAACTAGGTGCCATATAATAATGTAGTGCAACAAAATAACTTTTCATATAGTTTCTTTACGTATCTACTTAAACTGTTGAGGATTTCGGTTCCTCCGTAAAAGTTTCAGAAAGAAAAGTAATATTATTTGTAATATTTTTTCGGGGAAAAGACTATATCTAACTTATTTTTAAGAAAGTAACAAAAATTTGGATAGTCAGACTCAATAAATCTCATCCATATAGTTGAAATAATATTGAAAATGTTAGTTAATAGCTTATAATGCAGGTTCTCAGCACAACGCAGAAATAATGAATAAGGCATATTATTGGGTTGTATGATCAGTTAAATAACTTGAAACATTTTAAAAATGTCACCTATAACTAACTTTTGTTGATGTCGCTTATGGTACAAGACACATGAACAATGGGAAAACATATTTCCCCTAGATGATATAAAGAGGAAACTCACTTTGCATTCACTATTGTTACAAACTGTACAAGTTTTACAATCTGAACACTGCCATGGAGATTGACGTGCACGTTCTGTTAATTCGGGCCAGTAATCTAAACAAGTTGGATGAGCTGTGAAATGAAGACATAAAAAAAGGAAAGACAATGAAATTATGCATATAACTTTTCAACAATATTAGAAAAAATGAAACAAACTTCAGAACTAAACACAACTAAAATGATAATTAAAGTAAAGCAATTAAAACAAACACAAGAACTTTCAAAACTAAGATCCATTTAAAAGGCCCACCACTTGTGTTGATCTGATGACTAGATTGTTGACAATCACTTCCAGCTTTTAATATCGAATCATTGACATTAGTACTAGTTTCATTTTCGCATTTTTGCATCACTAAATTCAATGGAGAATTACTACTATTATCTTGACATGAATAATCCAATCGTTTTGTTTGTAAATAGTAATTGGAGTTCAAGTTGTTCTTTACACTTGACAATTTTGATGAAATTGATTTCATGAAATAATTTTGATTTGATTTTAGTCCAATCAATGATGAATTGATATTAGATTGTTTCTGTTGTTGTATTTCCGCAGCAGTATATGCTAGAGTTGATTCGATTCTACGTAGAATTGTGGCCAGTTGGGTTGGTCCAATAGGATGACAATCAAACCATAAATTCTCTGCTGTACAGTTTGTTTTCCATGTTAAAAAATAATTATCTTCAAGTGACTGACCTATTGAACTGACAATAAATTCAACGATTATTACAATACATTGTGTATAATACACGTGTATTTGTACATAAATGTATTGATGTAGAGATCAGAAAAAGTGAAAAGTGACAAGGAATATATAGTGATGACTGTATCGATTATGAAAAAAAGTAAGACAAGCAGAAAAAAAGTAAGACAAGCAGCAAAATGTAACAAGAGGATCAACAATCAACCTACACATACATCATTGATCACTTACCTCAGTCTTTTAGACACATAAAATTCATGATAACAAACAATACAACGTTCATGATTATTTAGTGAATTATGATCAAATACAAAGTTGGTTCCCGAACTAGAAGCCAGTAGTTCTCTTTCTGATCGAGGTAATGAAATACTACTATAACGATTTATTTTTTCCAGTAACTTAATGTTTTCCTTCACTGTATAATCTTGTGGTGAATTCTTATCTAAATAATCGAAATATGAAAAAATGTTCCTTGGTGATGATGATAACGACGATGGACACGGTGAAGTGATCGATTTTGAGAGTAAAGAACAGCTTGAATCTGGTCTATATATTAGGCCGAAAGTTCCGCTTTTATCATTGATACACATGTTAGATAACTTTACTGGGTCGTCCTTCAGAGTTAAATCTGAGTTATCCAGTTTAATTTGTTTATTATTGATTTCGTCATCGTTATTATCATTGAAATAAATTAATTTTAATTGACTATTTAATCCAAAACGTAACTGATGCAACTGACTACAGTGACGTAGACGAAGTAATTTAGCAAATAAGTAAACTAATGTGTGAACCAACTGTTGAGCACTCGTCTTACCAAAAAACCGTGATTTCCACAAGAAATCTTCTTCAGGGGATGAATAACAGACTGTATTAATATATGTTAAATTTAATGGAACAAAGTTAGCAAAAATATTACTTGGTAAGACATCTGTTATAGAAGATGGAGAGATTGAGCTACTATTGGTACCATTAACAACATTACCAGTTTTTGAAGGAACGATAGATGACTTGAGAACTAATGATTTGTTCTCATCAATTGAATTGATATTCTGCTTGCTATTAGATGATTCATACAAAGTAGAAGAGATATTTCGTTGATGATACTGTGTGAATAGTGGTCTATCATAGTTAGGCATAGGCTTGAAATCTGTTCTAACATGATGAATCGACTGTATTGCAGCTGTATTACAGATAGATTTGAAACCTAGCCTAGTGTTAAGTAATAAGGTGTTTGGGTATTTTCTCAAGTAGTTCGGTAATATTGGCCTGCGTGAAGTAGTTATTGATCTTCGAATTGAGTTTGGTGTGAGTGGAGTATGAGTTATTGTACGCTTTGGCCGATTTAAAACAGATGAAGCATCATAAGTGATCTTGTTATGATTAAAAGGGTAAGATAGTTGTTCACAGATATTACCAGCACTAGTTAGCTGAATAGGTACAGTCGCCTGACAAGGATCAGACCGATATTTTTGATCTACGTTTAAAGTACTTTTAGTATCTGCTTTCTCTGTGATAATATTACTGTAATTCGAGAGGAAAAATGATGAATTTGTCTGATCGCTTGCATTTTTTCTCAACATTAATATACTACTGTGATTTTGTGACTTCCGTTTTCTTGGTTCATGCTTAAATACAGCAGTATTCAAAATATTTTGAGTTCCATCCTTAACTTGATTGAGATTTCTAGAATCTCCGTTTGAACTGTTTCCTGATGAATGTGTAAAGGTTAACGAAGAGTTCCCCGACGTTTGTACTATCTCACTACAGGAATCATGCAGCGATACAGAAGCGTAGCTATGACATTCTGAATATGTGATTTGTGTAGCATTTATGTTTGGGGAAGTAACACATATTGAATCAGGGGGCTTTGAGACGATGATTGCAGACGTCTCTGGGAACTTGGATGAATTAGTCGAACTAACATATGAACCGAACGAAGTATTTAATGGGTTCCTCCTACATTTATGCTCCAAAGGGTAAAGCTCAGAGCTCCAAGGTACATCGAAAGAAAGTTTTAGATTCCCAGAATTAGTAGATGGACAAAAAACCTGGATATGCTGTTCAGCTTTATCTGCCGTAAAACAAGGCCTTTTAATACTTTGGTGGAAGCGAGTGAAATTTGAGAAAGGAGTTTCATTCAACTGACTGCCAGCACCAAGTTGATTTATACACTCCGTTTGGGAATATGGAATCACTGACCTGCAGCCGAAATGAGATAAAGGGGCTAAACTTGGTGGATTTAGCAATTGACTTTTCTCTTTTTCGTGAGAATGTTCGAAAAAACTGGACCAACTAAGATCGTAACCAGTGAACTGTGGTAACAAATGATTTTTTCCAGAAAGAGATGTATAAGCAGTTGAACAGTAAGCTTCTTTTTGAACACAACCAGTTGATACTATTGATGTATTGGAAATTGAAAATTTGTCCTCAATGCATTTTTTAACTGTAGAACTCGCAGAATGATCACTTCTTAAAACACCGACTGATGGGCATACAATTTTAAAATTCGGGTTTGACAAGCCACCGTGATCCATAATTAACCTAAATATTAGCAATCTATGTTGACTAATCCAAATTAATATATAATGAAAACTAAGACATTTCCAAAATTCATTTATTTATCGAGTTATTATTTAAATTTAAATTATTGATCGTTAACAATTCACATCGAAATTTTTAAAAAATCCGTACGTGAATATATATATATATATAATGATATAAAACGACGAAATGATGACACAACAGCAATAATAGATAAATACATAATCATTATTTAAAATGCTAACACTCACCGTTAAGGCCACAGTCTTTACATATAAGAAAGGCTTCTTCACATGTTGGCAGACCACCACAACAGTAACAAACGGGACCATCTTTTTCTTCCTGTTTGTCTACTGCACTACAATCCATATCAGACATAAATGAATCGGGTGTTAACAGATTATCAGATTTTAAAGGTATCGTCAGTTGAGGATTTGTAAAATTATGCGATAAGTTCGATGTACTAGAAAACAAAGGTGGCAATGGCAAGCCTTGAGATAATGGGAAAGACAGAAACGGAGATGAAATAGTCGTCATTAGAGAAGAATCGATAGGTATACTTGAAGGTGCAGAAAAGTGGGTAGGTAGAATAGTTCCAGGTAAGATATTTGGACAGTTATTACTGCTAGAAGCAATTACAGTGATAAAAGAACTAGAAGGTAGAACTGGGATTGCTGAAGAGAATGGAAGTTCATTCGCAGGATGTGCAGTTAAACATGATGTTGGAACTAGGCTGCTTGAATTAGCATCAGATATATATAAAGAAGGAGTATTCAATCCACTACAAGTATTAGAGTCTACTCCACCAGGAACAGCTGTGTTTCCAAATGTAGTAGGAGAATTTTCAACTTTGACTTTCTGAAAACAAAATCAGGATAAAATATATCAAATGAAACTTATAACAAGAAAAATTACTTGTGTAAACTTCAAGCTACTCATTACAATTGGGTTAAAAGGTTTCGATGAGATAATTAGAAAAACACAATTGAGTTTTGAATCAATCCCGAGTTTTCTATTACTTGTGCAAACAATTTTTGTCTGATTCTTGCAATTTATCAATTACAAAGGAAGGAGATAGATATTAAACAATGAATCCTTTCTGGAGCGTTATAAATAAAACTATTTAAGTTTTCAGGAATGAATTGGGTTTATTGAATCATAAATAAAAATCAGTGTACTATTATTACTAATTCACATTCAAAAAACGTTGAAGTTCTTTTGTAAAAATCTAATAGTCACAGTAAACTTTAAATGAGTTATTTAAAAGATTGAAACCCAGTTTACATGATCCAAGTCACATAAAACTCCTAAGTCCTCCCCCCTCTAATAATAGTATTTAAAAAGACTACTTCAAGTCAATTTTCGCGAAGTTCTGGAAAATTATCAAATTGTTAAGATCATAAATTAACTCTATCCTATAAGGTTCAAATAGAACTGAAGAATGAGTAATTTTCCGAAACCTCAGTTCAGGTATGCACTGAACTAATGCCCCAACCAAAGAATTTAATCTTAAAACCGAACAAATATTGAGGATATAATATTGACACAAGTTATGTAGGGATGTAGCAGGCTTTCCAGGATCCAGGAGAATAATAAAACTGAGGTATGATAAAAATGAATATCAAAGACACAAATTTGTCTATTCTTTTTTGAAACTAGTCAATCAATCATTAAATAATAGGGAAAGACATGCATGTAATAAATGTTCTTGAGATGGTGGGGAGAATTTGTAGCTCAGGTGGATGGGCTGAAAGGAACGAACTGTATTAAACATTTCAGTCTAGTAGTTCATAAAGGATTATTTTAAAGTGTGAAGGCACCACCTAAGGTTTGTTGTAAATATTCCTACAATAAAATATCAAAAACGTTAGTACAGCTCAGTATTGGAATGCGAAGACATTTTATAGCTGTCGTACAGAACTTATCTATTTAAACCTAAATGGCGAAATTGTGAAGGCCTAATGAAAGCTTATTTATTGTACAGATTTATTGTGTACATTAACTTCAAGATACTAAAATTAGAAAATCTCCTTCATAAAATAAACTTACGTTGATCGTAGCAGTACTAGTTAAAGATGTCTGAAGATTGTCTGAGTTATAATAATAAATGATAAGACTGTGAAAACAATACCTTTCTAAAGAAAAAAACACTTACGGGAAGCACATTATTCAAATCAAAAACAAGCAGATCTTCGAACCATTTATTAATTAGGAGTAATTGACTATATTTGGAAACAAACTAGCAGTTTGTATTAATGTTTGCAACATTTTTACAAGTAAATTCTACCCATACTTTTGTTGTCAATGGAATGCGTACATCGCCAATCATTTTGCTTATGCATATAGTCTTCCTTGTTAACAGACATGTATTATTTTAACGGTTCAAGAAATATTCCACTTTCAGAGAAACATTACGTTTAGAATAAATGATATGTACCTAATCGATAAGCCAATCAGAATATATGACCCGGAAAGTTACCAGAATTTTTAGACAGGATAGGTTAGGTCTTGGTCTTGGTTTAAAAGTTGAGAGACTAGAAAAACCTAACGATCGATATTGTCTTGTGTTATGGCCTAGAAAACGTGAATCAACGAGATCCATTTGACATAGCTTAATTCTGATTGGTCAAAAAGCTCATAAAAAATAAACGTAGGCGGACATATAAATCGCATGATGATGACATGCAGTGAACAAATTGGCCTCAAAATAAGTACACAAGAAGTGGGGTCAATGTATTTTGGTACGCTAGCCACTAATAGAAGCACAGTGAAGATAAATACATCGTTCGCCTTGGCATGACGAACATTTTTATGCTGAACGGTTTGTCTATTGGCAGCTTCCCAAATTTCCGAATTCCAATGTAGAAAATATTGTATATAAGTCTTGAACAATGACGAAAGTACATTGGAATGAAATCCCCAATATCTAGGTTGTAAACTTAAAGTATACCGCCGAAACAGTAGGGACAGAGAAATATCATAGCTTATATATCGAAATGGTCTTAATATTTAGTGTTAGAATTCGATTATCCAAAAATTGATGATAGCTGCGATACAAAAATCCTAAACACATGCTAACTCCGAGCGTAGTTACTCATCTACTTATCACTTTCGTCTCAAGACCGGCCAAAAACAGCTAACACCGCAAAGTCATTCGATAATATTGTTTGAGCTTAACGCTCTACATTACCTCGATTTTCTATGTCTGGTCCCGACCGTAGCTGCTACCTTGACGTTGTGGTCGGGCTTGCCTATCGTGATGACCCAACCAATCTATGTTGGCTGGAACATACTCAAAAGGTTTCCGTCTCCGGTGGTAAGGGTGCCTACTAAGGGGTTTTAAGAGCGGAGCTAATACCCAAAAATCCTTCCATAAAAATGCCGTGCGTGACCGGCCGCAATGATGATAATAATGATAACAAAGCTAAGGATATATTTCAGGAACAACTAGAAAAACAGTTCGGCGACCATGTAAGCCTTTTCCATCTCTCTCGCTTTCTCCACACACCACTGTTCGCGATCATTGCGTAGGCTTTTTATCAGCCTACGTCTAAGCTGACTTCGCTCCTCATCGCACTGCGAGCCGAGTATGATGAGCTTTCGAGCATCCATCAGTTCGGCAGATGCTACGGAGATCCACGGCTTCATTCTAGCCTTATGGCTTAACTTTCTAGCAGATATCACTGCTAATTCCAAAGCCTTTTTGATATCATTCCAGCCTGCTTCCGGATGCGAATCGCTTACATGGTCGCCTAACTGTTTTTCTAGTTCCTCCTGAAATATATTCTTAGCTTGATTATCATTGAGTAAAACCCTAAAAGATTTCCTTACGGTGTCTTTCCTACGTCCAGTAAGACGCAAACAGATACGAGCTCGCACTAGGGCATGATCTGAATCTAAACATGTGCTCCAGAACGAGCGACAGTCCTCTATCGAGACTCTCCATCGGTGGCTGATGGCGATATGATCTAGTTGCGTCCAACGTTGAGACGACTTCGGGGGTCGCCAGGTCAATAGATGTTTTTCCTTATGCCTAGAGTTAGTGTCTGCTAGAAATAGGCGGTTATCTGAGCATACTTGTAACAGACGGTCGCCATTGTCTGTTCTTTGAGCCGCGACACCATAACATCCACCTAGGTGTCTTTCGTTTTCACTTAGTCTACCTACTTGAGCATTAAAGTCACCAGCCATTATTACTATATCAGAGCGCCTAGCTTTTTGGAGGAGTTCCGAAAGCTTTCTGTAAAACTGATCTTTCACCTCGTCTGAACTGCAGTCAGTGGAGGGGGGGGCATAGGTAGATACGACGAAGAGGCAACGACTGGTGTATCTATCTTTCCGAGTCCTTACTGTCCCGTTCAGTCGGACAGCGCACAATCCACTATCTACATGGATCCGGTCTAGGAGAGATTGTTCAGCTCTACGAATCAATGCTATACCTACACTAGCGAGACCCCTGGAAGTAGCATCAGGGCTACCGGATACACGAAGTGTAAGTCGAGCTGCTTCTTTATTTTGACAAGGTGAAATCAGATTAATGACTTTACTAAGATCCTGTATGCGCGTTTCCGAGACGCAGCATACATCGATGGCACTAGATTCTAATGTCCTAGCTAGGGAAGCTTGTTGCCCTATTTGACACAATGTCCGTACATTAAATGCTGCAACATGTAGTCTAGAACGTGGTTTCAGGAGACCAGAAATGACGTTTCGTGAACTCGTGTCATTTGCATTAGTGGTGCAGTGTGATAAGGGAAGGTGAGTAGAGTTAGTTGTGGAGAGAAGAGAGGTATGTGTGGGTGTAGGGAGGATTTGATATTGACCAATTTGGTCTCGTGTGCCGTTACGCGTATGAGTTCCAATACTTGATCTATTGAACAGCCATCCCTACCTAGTAGTATCTCGATAGGGAAATTCGACCACCACGTCAAGGTAGCCGCTACGGTCGGGACAACGCGCATTAATTAGTCCATAATATTACAAATCTACCATTACCTTGTAGTGGAACTATTTTATGAAGAAAATATGATTGCTAACATACAAATACTTATTATTGAACATGTATAACAATAACTGTTTTATTGTACACCTTATACAAGCTCTCTACTCGAACACCACTGGTCGAGTGAAAGCTTATGGCGAACTGTCATCTGAATTCTCTACATCAAGTGGTGTCCGTTAGGGCTGTCCACTCTCTCCATTCTTGTTTAACTTTGTCGTAGACATCCTCTTAGAGTTAACATTAAGCTCGTCAGATTTTTCAGGGATTGACCTTCTACCAGGAAAGTCGCTTACTGATCTAGAATATGCCGATGACAAAATGCAGAGTCTTCTGACCACCCTAAGCAACAATGCAAGCATGTTCGGGATGCGGTTCTCACCCTCGAAATGCAAAATGTTGCTTCAAGATTGGGTTTAATCGTCTCCTGAACTAGTGATAGGGAGTGAAGTAGTCGAGCGGGTAGACCGCTTCACTTATCTTGGGAGTCTCATCAGTGCTGACGGCCTGGTGACTGACGAAATGTCAGCGCGGATACAGAAGGCTGGATTGGCTTTTGCCAAACTGCGTCACTTATGGCGTAGGCGTGATGTCCGTTTGCTGACTAAAGGACGAGTGTACTGTGCAGCAGTTCGCTCCGTCTTACTTTATGGCTGTGAAACATGGCCAGTAAGAGTAGAAGATATTCGTAGGTTACTGGTTTTCGATCATAGGTGTTTAAGAAGCATTGCTCGTATATCGTGGGACACCAGAGTGAGAAACGCTGTTATTAGGAAACGGGTGCTAGGTAAGGATGGGAGATCAATAGATGAAGTAATGGAACTTCATCAGTTGAGGTGGTTAGGACATGTGTTACGTA